TCGGTTACTGAGTGCATAATGCGGCTGAATATGCAATCAACAGATCGCGATGAGTGTTGAATAATAAAATAAGATAAATAATTATTGGCTTCTATAATGCTATTTTTTTATGTAAAATTATGTAGCGCTTTATTAATAAAACTCACATTCCTCGATTGCAAGAATTTTATCCTCACATTCTCATGTTAGTATCACAAGAGAAGATATTATCCAATAATATGTCATTCGAAAGACTATTACAAATATTCAAAGCTAATATAAAAGACATCCGACTAGGAGTTGTTTTCTTTCTAAATACATATAAACTAATTTTGTCATGCCTCAAGACTTATGAAATACTCTGTATGTCTGTTGCATTGAAAATTGATCTCTTCACGATCATTTATACAATAAATAGCTTTGTCATCTAATACCGCACGTTGATATGACTAACACACATCTTGATACTATTTTTTTCATTATTACTTGAATAAAAATGAACATCTATTTTTGTCATTAATAGAGTATTTATTTAATAAAAACTAACTTTATTCAGAAGACAAAAAAACACATGCAGTATAGATAGTGTTGATCACTGAATAAGTCCATTACTTTACAATGAGATCTGTATATGCTATTTTTGTATTAATTTCGAGAGAATAGTTATATAACTACATTAAAACTTCCGAATATTCTATAAATAATTTATTCTTTCTTGCATTATTTGTATTCCATATTGTCTCCCAATATGAATTATAAAGGTCTCATTCTTTTAGAATATTTATTTCTATTTATTTTCAAGGTTATAATTTGAATGTTATTGATTTGTTTTTAAATATATTCTATCAAGAGTTAATATTAAACAGCTAGAGGAAATAAAACTTTTCAAATACAGTTTAATATTTCTACTAATCAAATATCTCTGATATTTAACATCGAAATGAAATCATTGCTTGCCAAATAAACCATATATTAGTGCCTGACAAACATCAAACGAATAACTTAAAAAAAAAGAAGAAGAAGAAAAACTCTTTATGATAAGATTTATGATGATTATTGAGCATTAAAAATTTCTCTTATAGGTAGTTCAGTTTTTATCTATTTACTTTGTAAACAAAATTCAATTTTATTTAAAGAAAGAAAACTGAATTCTTTTCATTTCACTAAATATATATATATATATCTGTATTATTCACACATCATACAGCAATTAACACTCTTCAAAAACAGTTCAAAAGAATGTTCAAAAATTTTGACTCGAGTATGTAATCAACAAGTATGTATTCTTAATCATGTTAAAAAAAATCAGTTATACTAAAGTTGAATCAATTGAAATAAAAACCAATTCTTTTACTTTTTCTTTTTTTTCTTTGTACTTGAAATTATAATAAGAAATCTCTTATGAGTTCATTCAATATCTAAGATATATCTTTACAACTTCAATATCTTGTCCATTGAAAAAAGCAAAAGAATAAATAATGATGATACTTAAGTTTTATGTTGACATGTAATCAAATCGACAAGTTTTATGGATGTTGAAAAAATTATTACAAAACGATTCAATGAATCGAATATATAATGTAAATTTTAGTATTCTTATATTATTATTATTATTATCGATAAGGAGTTCTATAATATATTCTTTGCATGATTCCATCTTGAAAAATTACATAACTAAAAAGTATATTTTATTCAACAGATATTTATATATGCAAACACTAATATAAGCTCATTGAGTTTAAATGTCATGTTTAATAATAAAATGAAAAATGGGGCGTGTCTAGGTTTAAATCTAAATCTAATGTTAACAGCTGTTGACGAGCTATACTTTTTGATTATCAATATAACAGATAATTTCACCTAAAAACAAAAAAAAATCATCTGTGTGCATACGCCTGTACACATATATACATTAATGATAATGAATGATATACCCTTCATACATTCGACTCAGTTCACATCAAGATTATTTGCAGACGCAGATTGTCATCAATTGTTAGAGATAGACAGACACAGAAATTTCTTCTAATCACTATTCATTGATGACAGCATAGAATAATTGAAAATGAATTTATGAGTACTCATATTGATTTGTGTGTGTATGTATGTGGTCATCACTTCAATAAAAAAGAATTCATCATCATTAGGAAATGGAACGTGTATATATAAATAGAGAAAAAAAAAGAGTTCATTAAGAAAGAAAAATTCATTTTCTTCTTCGTGTAACGCAATCAAATTTACATGACATGCATCAATCGTTTTGCCGACAGGCGCTATATCGTCATTTTCTTTTTTTCTGACCGTTAGAACTTGAGTTAAAATGAGCAGATGCTATATACTGATGAGAACATGTAATATGAAACGGAAAAGTATCAGAATGTGACACCCATTCGAACGAGTATTTACCGTATTCTTTTTTTTTTGTTGATAGTCTAAATAGACAGGATATAAGCACGCACACATATATTTGTATTGCCTGACTATCAACTATGTTAATGACAAAAAAAAAAAATTTTTCTGTCTTCTGTGATGGATGGATGATCAGTATGTATATATAGAAGGGCGTTGACAATTTTTTTTTGTTCATAGCAACCTAAATGATAAATATATGCACGCGTATACCGAATAAATTTGTTATATACATCAACATATACGCCTTTACCCGTGAGCAATAAAAAATGATGATCGATGATTTTGAGGAGAATATTAACAATCGATTGAATCTGGTTTCTTGAACTTTAAAATAAAACTATTCTAGTAATAAAATAGAAAAGATCACTATTGAAACAGATGTTTTCATTGCTGTGATTGAGTGTTTCTGCAGCTGCGCTCTTTTTCTATCTCTAATGTAATAATCATTGAAGTCGGCAATTCATAAACTTATTTATCCATATGGTACACTGATCGCATAATTATCATTGATTTGTTGAAAACCTTCTTTATTTTTTGTGCTGTTGATGATATATGATGAACAAATCAAATAGTTGATTGATTTTTTTTTGCTTTCTTTTCAAGTGTTATATATCAATCGAAAGTTTTCTTTCTTTGAAAAAAATCAGTCAAGTGTGTGATAACAATCTTTGATCTTTGACAGCCGCTTTCGTTTTCTATTGATAAAAAAAGGAAGAGAGAGAGTTTGAAATATATTATAAGCAACTTTTTATTTTTTTTAAGTATTGTTTAAATAGTGTGAATATGCTTCAAGCATTGTGACTAATTGAAGTATTGTTTCGACGAAAAAAAACGTAGAATAGTTTCATTTTAGATACATTATAGAAGAGATCAAACTTTGAATGAAATAGCTAGCTTAAGGCAAATGACGTCTCATCGATCACTACTCTTGTTTTATGTCCATTAACCATTGTGCTATTTTCCACTCTTCAACACCTTAAAAAAAGAAAAAACGAACACTCATACATATATATATATATATATATATACATATACACATACATTTACATTAACCGTTATCTTGATCAGTGATGTCATTTATTCAAGTGTGTCAAACTCGAATCCTTATCATTCTCTTCACCTATCAAAACACTAAATCATTTTTTGTTTTGTGAGATATGATGTGAGTGCTCCTTAGGGGGTTGAGTTTTTTTTCACACATAACATTTGTATATCGGATATGACACAATCAAATCACAATTCTTAATAAACAAAAACATGATGATTCTAGTCATCATCATCATCATCATCATCATCAAGGAAACCGTATGAATCTATTCTCTAGTTTCTATAAACAAATATTGAGACAAGTATGACTACATTAGAAATATACAATAGAAGTAAACATATGAAACCTTCTCGATTTTCAAACTAATATTTGTTTTATTCAAGCATAAAAATAACAACGACTCATACTTTCTCATTTTTATTTTAATTAGAAAAAAGAAACAGACAACGTTTTTTCTCTCATTATTGGATAAAATAATCCGTTCGTTTCTTGTGAAATCATTTTCAGACATAATAACATCTGGAGAAACATATATCAATGATAAGACAGAACGATATGTTGTCAACAAAAAAAAAAAAACGTACGTTGACCAGTCGGTCAATTTCGTTCGTATGACTCTTAAGTGATAGTAAACTTAATCTCTCTTTCAATCTATAGGCTTTTTCATCTTAACAAGCATGAACAAAAAAACTCTCCGTAATGAAACAGCTGTGATAGAAAAAGAAAAAGAACAGAATCAAAATGACTTTGACCGTTTGGTGAACTCGTGTCAATACACATACGGTACCGTACATAGACTCAATCAAACAACATACTGTAGACGCAAAATAGAAAAAAAACAAAACAAAAATGATTTTCTATCTCTGCACGGTTGTTTATTCAAGAGCCAAGAAAAACAGAAAAAAAATATAAAAAAAAAGCAAGAAAACTACATGCACGGATACATAGATTTATTTTATACCTGAGATAAGGTTCTTTATATTATATATTTTTTTCTCTCTACGTACACAAGAAAAAAAAAGAAAAATAATAATAGCAACTAATATGTGTACGACTTTTATAAAAAAAATCAACACACACACAAAAACAGGTATTTGATACTAATCACACACCCAAAAAAAAAGAAAACTACGTGCGCCTAAACTTGATAATGACACAAAAAAAAATAAGTTAGGCTCAAAGCTCGCATACACAAATATATAGATAGATAGTTAACTACAGCTAAAAAAGAACAGGCAAACCAAAACAAAAAAAATCACTCCTCACGTTTGAGCAGTTTGACTTTTTTTTTTTTCTCTTTTTTTTTTGTTTTTTTTTTTCCTTTAAGAAGGGGGCAAAAGAAAACAGATTTAGACTAGTGGGTCACACACATGCTCATTCACAATGAGAATAAACATCTTAGTTTTTTTCTCTTCCGGGTTAATACATCAAATCCCTGATCAAGATATAACTGTACACAAAATAGAAACAGTAACGTAAAAAAATACACAGAAATAAATTAAAGATAATAACCTGAGAAAGAGAGACAGACAGAGAATATATATATATATATATTCATATATTAAGCAAAACCCATTGATGTTTTCATTGATATAAAATTAAAATTTGTCCAAATTGAATCAAAATTATCATCTGATATTTGTTCAAATGATGAATTTAAATCTAATTGATCATTAAAAGAAGGTAAAAAAGATGATTGTGATACAGTACGATATGTTGATTTGATTTTATCATCTTGAGGAAATGGTAATGATAAATGATGAGAAAATTTTGGTGTTGTTATTGTTGTTGACAATGATGAATTATTATTATTATTATTATTTAATTTAATCCATTTTGAACATTGTTGATTTGTATCAATAATATCTGTTATTGAAAATAATTCTTTTTCAAAATCATTTTCTTCAATATCTGATGTTTGACCTGTACGTGCAGCAATATGACTTTCAATTTCAATACGTGCAGCTTCAACATTTTCAGGTAAACCAGCTATTTCAAAAACAGGTTCTTTATCACGACCTGGTGTTACAATATATGTATTTGTTGTTTGTTGTATACGTTTTATAGTTGCACCTTTTGGACCAACAACTAAACCAACAACACGATATGGTACACGAACTTGTATAGTTATTTGTTGAATATTTGTTGTTGATGTTGATGTTGATGGATATATTAAACTATTATAATGTAAATTTGTATTACTTCCACTACTTGTACTGCTATTTGATGAATTACTTGCACTAGTTTGTTTACGAGCTAAGCAAAACAATATATTTATTCTTTTTTTTTTCTTCTCATAATTTAATATTTTTTTTTCATACCAGCTCGTATTTGTGAAAAATGTTCAGCAGCTGATAGAATTTCTTTTTTAGCTTGATAAACATCTTCTTTTCGACCAGTTATTATAAATACAGGTTGATCACCACGAACAGGAGTTTTAATATATGTATTAGTTTTTGTACGAAGTGCTTTTATTTTGCAACCTAGAAACACAAAAAAGAAAAAATTTGAAAAAAAAAGCTTTTAAATACATTTTTTTTTAATACCTTGTCGACCAACAATTTCGGCAACATGTTCCGAACTTGGCACCGGTACACATTCGGTCATATTTTGACTACGTTTACCAATTGAATCATATGTTGATGATGATAATAAAGATGGTGGTGGTGAAGATAATTTTTGTTGTTGATCAAAACAATAAGATAAATCATTTATGTCATATTGTTGACAAGCAGCTAGAAGTAATGATGATGATAATGATGAATTTGATGATGAACGTTGAAAATCACTTATTATAGATGCACTCGGCATTATTTTTAGAAAATGAAAAATAACCTAAATAAAAAAAAATGAAAATAAATCAATTATAAAACAAAAAGAAAAAAAGAAAAAAAGAAAACAACAACAATATCGAACGAAGAACACTATTATCGTGTACGCGCATGGACTTACCGCTGTGTGTCCAGTAGACGACGAAATGTGAATATGATGATTAATGCTTACATGCTCGACCCTTCTCCTATATATTAGTAGACACAGAGAGAGAAGAGAAAAAAAAAGAAAAGAGAGAGAGAGAGAGAGAGAGTATAGCACGAAAGAACGGTAAAGAACGAATGGAAAATGTGTACAATCTCTCTCTTCCACCTGAGTGGTGGGTGGGTACTTCTTGATTTTCTTTTTTTTCCTTAAAACTTTTTTTTTCTCTGATGAACTTTGAACTACTAACCAATCTAGGTAGTCCTAACAAATGCAAAATAAGAAGAAAAAAAAAAAAAAGAGAATTGCCCTTTCTGTATACCCTAGAATTGATGCCTTCGCATTTTTTTTTCCTTCTTCTTCCGTACTAACAATAAATAGTAATAAAAAGAACTATATATATATATATCAATGACTAGACACAACAAGAAAAAAAAAGAAAGAATTTGGTTTTAGTACAAACAAGAATGCTGACTGCTTACGGTTTTCATCTGATGTTCAATATTCGATTAAAAAAAAACGAAAGAAAGAAAAGAATGAGAAGAACGTGATACTATGCATTGTATAGAATCAGTTAATTAGATAATCGCAATGCGCAATTTGTTTTGTTGTTTTCTTTTTTGTTATCTATAGAATCAAACGATTTGAATGAGAATTACATTCCAATGCAAATAATCGTCTAATAAAGATAAATTTTGATATGTTAAAAATAAAAATAGTGTTCACTAATCTAAAATATAAAAAAAAAAAAAATGGTAAGATTCTATTAATAAACATAGAAATTTGTTTTTGAATTTGTTCAATGAGAAATTTTGAAAGAGAAAAGATCTTTACAAAAAGAAAAATATAATACTAATGAAAAAAAAATGTTTATAAGATCTATGAATTTTTGTTTTAGTGAAAAAATCATGTTCTATATCATGATGTTGATTGTTGTTGTTCTGTATCGAGAAATGGTTGATTTAAATCTTCTTTTGTTATAGTTGATGTGAGTTCATTTGAATTTGTCATATCAATAGTTACAGATGAATTTTGTGTTTGATCACTTTGAGCAAGTAATTGTGATTGATGAGTTTCGTCAAGTTCAGGCCAATTTTCACTTGTCGTTTGTTTTTGTTTCATGCGATCATTTAAAGCTTTTAAGGCTTTTTGTCTAAAATAAGATTTTTTTATTATTAAAAGATTATTGGGATTTAGATTTTTTTTTTATCTATTTCATTTATCGTCATTTATTAACATTTTATGTTTTCTCTTCTAGAAAGTAATCAACTCAATTAGATAGTTTTTCATAGGACATTATAGAAAGATTTATTCAATGTTTTTGAAATAATAATCTATTATTATTTAAAATTATTGTACCAATCTATACAAACTCATAATCTTGATCAGTATTATATTCAGCGTGAAACTCGAGGAGGCGTGCCGCTTCTCGAAAGATCGAGTTGACCCTCCCAAAGTTTGTGTTTCTTCCATTTATTATATGTCTGTGTTTTCAAAAAGTAGATATTCATCTCCTAGAGTTTTAAATCGTCACTTCAAAAGAGAAAATCTAGGTAAAACATTGCTTTTGATATAGTAGTAGTATTCATTATTGAAAATAATGACATATCGGAAATTAGGATGGAGTCGGATTCTTAAAAAATATTGTGGAACTTTAAGTGAACGAGATTTTTCTCCTAACATTAATTGTTTTAATTTCTATATAAGATTTTTCTAAAGACAAAACGGCTATTTTTTTATGTTAAATTTTGAATAACAACAACAACAACAATAACCTAATAATTTGAAGACAATATTTGATTATTGTATATATCAATATAGTTCATAAATTTTTTATTTCAAATTTATCGACTATGAAAAGTTTTACTAACCTTCGTCTATCAGCATCAGCAGCTTCGGCACCAGGTATGGTAACTGTTATACTGGATGATGAAGATACATTATATTTTTTAACAAACGGTTTACATAATTTAAGTTTAACAAATATCTCAAATATTGTATTTGCAAAAAGACTTATTATTGGTGAAATAGGTGATGGAAAGAAACTATAAAAAGTCAAATTTTAATTAAGCATTACGATAAAATTCATTATAATTACCTAGCAAATGAAAATGATGTTGATGTATCGCCTTTTGTTCCATTTTGATGAGATTGAAAGAATCTAAAGAATACTCAAGAAATAAATTATTGTTAAATATTTTGTTGAAAAATGATTCTACTCTTGTTCAACTTCTTAGAAAATTCAAAATTTTCTTTCAAAAAATTTTCATTCAATCTACATTAAATTGTGTATGAAGATGCTTTTAACAGTTCTTTACTACTCATTTTCAATTATAGAACGCATTCTTTTCCTTTTTTGGAACTTAAATATAATTTTTATAAACGTTAGAATATATATTCCAATATTCTTTTTTTTTATATCGATTTTTTCTTATAGATACTCGAGTACGCGAAAGTTGTGGTAAAAAAAATATTTACTTATTTTTCGACTACTTAAAAATAGTTGGTTAGAACTACATGTGTTTCGCTCTTTCTAAATATGTGTTTCGAATTTCTTTCTCAAATAAGAATGAACAACTATCATCAGATGATTTCAAAATAGAGATGGCATAGAATACTATTTTGATTTATTTTGTATTTCGATCGAAACCTATTTCATTCAAAATGCGAAACAATTTTTAATGACTCAATTTTGCAGAGCTAACTTTGTTCTATAAAGCGTGCTATTTACTTTTCTATTTTATCTTACATGACAGATTATAGAAATTTTTGTTTTTGAAACGGCAACTATTGATTTTTTCGTAAAAAGTAATCCTTTAGTGGAAAAGTATAGATTAGATTTGGCGTAATGTAATATCTTATGTTTTTTTTTTACAAAATTCAGTGCTTCATAATAATGTTCAGTTGAAACTGTTCTAAGATATGTATACAAAGGGCTCCATCGAAACTCCTGCTTTATTTTGTACGAACATAAATTTAAACTTTTTCACACAATTCACTGATATGGTAAAACCTCTTTAATATGGAACCGATAGCTATTCAATTGCAACCATTTTTAAGTTGCATATGGTGATCTTTTTTTCTTTCCAACAATTAATTCACTCAACTTTTTGAATAGGAAGTAAATCAACTCTTGTTGATTCGATTTGATGTTATTAGATGTTAATAGAAAAACGACAAAATGTTCTATCGAGCATTTCTGCTGTCAATTTTTTCTCAGTCTGCACGTAAATGATACAATATGTAGTTTCTCACATTATAGACGTTATCAAATACTCAATGGACTAGCAATAAGTGTTCGTTACTCGGAATAAGGAAGTAATCACGTAGATAACTTTTATTGTGGTTGTTCAATCTTACCTCAGAAGGAAAATTTGAACATGTATTAGGATAGAGCAAAAAATGTCTGATTCTCACCAAGTGTCTTTTAGTGACAGAAAAATAAATAAATATTTGGTGCTAAGACTTTCTCACTATAGATTAACTTCATTTTTCATATTAGAACAATGCAAGTAGAAAATATAAACAATTTATTTTACCTTAAATATGTCCAACTAATAATAATGCCAAAACTCAACATAATTAAAAAATGTATAGGTACAGCATGAACGAACCAAAGTATAGTTGATAAAAGTACAATTAATAAAGGTACTTGATCTTGTTTAAGTTTAAAAAAAGGTGTTGTTGCTAAAACTGTATCAGGCATAATTTGTTTAATAACAACTGAGTAAGCACCAAGAAATGCAGCTAAACCATAAATAGGTCTTTCAAATAAATATTCTTCATTAAATGTTAAACCATAAAAAACAAAATAAATACATGTCGCAAATAATGCATTTGGAATGGTAACAATAAAATAAAATCGTAAAAGTTCATTTGTACCCCATAATGGTTCAATCATTTTCGAATAAAGAAAAACAACAATAACATCGATTATTGTGTGCCAAATATGTAACTCAATGAAACCGTGTGTTAGAAATGTCCTAAGAATATTTTATTAAAAAAAGAATATAGAAAATTTATTAAAGTATAAACAAACCAAATCCAAAAATTCGGTGGCATTACACGTCCTGGAATGACAGCAAGTGCTTGAACACATTGTGGATTGAATGAAAGAAAATATCCAATTATACAAAAAAGACATATTAATTTTGTAGTTAAGCCTGAGGAAAATACAGCGGACCGTAATTGTTGTCCAATATCTTGAACAAATGTTTGTTTCATTATCTAAACTAAAAGAATATTCAAATAGTTGAAGACAAAAATATATATATATGAAATCGAATACCTTTTCTTATTGATCTAATTCAATAATAATACAATAAACATATTCTGAAAACCAGTTAGATTCAAGAACATTTATTACTCATCACGAGTGACAACGTAGGCACAATGAGTATTATTATTTTTTGTTTTATTTTGTTGCATACTTGGTAAGGTATTTAATGGATCTTTGATAGTTGTAGAGCGACAATCATCCTTCAACAGATGGCAGTATAATCGTATACTAGAAAAATATGTTTTAGTTAGTCTTCATTGATGAAAGTATTTTAGAAATATCGTTGATCTTGATCACTGCTAAATATCGATTTCAAGTCTTAATTTTTTATTTATGAATAGTTCTCTTGAAATAATTTACGAAAACAAATATTGGTCTAAAACGTACAGTAATGACTATAGAACTTATATAATTTATTATTAAAATTTTATAATATCTATTCATATTATGCAGTAAGATGTTCTGTTCAATGTCGAGTGTGTGCCGTCTGAACTATTTATAAATAATTTTGATCTTTCAATGATCGTTCAATCAATTGAATATTGCTTCTTAGTTACTGACATATGGCTAAAATGAACAGGAATAATCTATATTTTATGACCTTCCCATCGATTCCATGGTTGCCATATGTACTCGATTATGCCATTTCATGCCCCTGAGGTACATATTTTATATTCTATCTCGAGTTTTTGGCCTTGTGCTGTCATAAACTTGTCTTTTCATTACAACACTCTGTTTTTCAGTAATACTCATGTCATCGTGATAGAGACATTTATATTCAATCCTAGTGATAAAAATTTGATTCATTTAATTTTGTCATGACTTTTGTTGTTTTCGATTTTTATTGTTACTTGAATATATTGAAATAAATATTTGATGAATTTTTTGTTTTTGCTACGACTTTCTATTGTTCCTATTATATTAGCGTAAAAGATATGATGTACAAAATTCTAAATTTCGATTTATGTTCCTATTGAATATAGAATGATGCTGATTCTTACATATTGTGACAAAACAAAAGCATCGGGTTCATTAGTGAATGTTCTTTTGTGAAAATTTTTTATTGAGCAAAAATGAATAATTAAGTCGCATACTAGCTGATAAAAAATTGAATATGGTGTTGATTTCTAGTGTGTGTAAATCAATTGAAAACAGATTGCGCTATCTCTTATTATTGAAAAGACAAATACAATCTGTTAATCTCAATATTTGCTTTTCATCAGTCGACTTCTTGTCCAAAAAATCCAAATTCATATGATATTTAATGTGCTTTCTAAAATAATACTAAGAGAAATGTGGAGTTTAATTTGCCGACGTGTTTCGTGTTATTTATTAAAATAAAAACAGTCATTATGGCTCTGCATTACATTTTTGTAAGTACAGGCAAGAAAAACTGAAAAGAATTTCTTCCTTTAACAACATAATTAAATAATTAAAAGACAATAAATAAAAGAAAAAGGAAACAAAAAAGGAATTAGTCTTAAAAAACAAGAAAAAAGGGGAAAAGGAAAGAGAAATCAACTGTGAAATTAAAGAAAATCGCTTTTGGTTTTAATTTTTATGAAAATTTGAATCGTTTCAATTTACCTTATATTGAACTAATACTTTAAAATAGTGACCTACTTGTTAACATCATTTGATTATATCGAATTATATTTCAATAAATTAATCAACAATGAACGCTAATACACAAAAACTTGAATCAAGATCTACGTTATTGAATAAAATTCAATAAAAACTATTACAATTATCATGAAAAGTTACTAAATGGTGCATACTAATATGTTTAACCAAAACATTGGTTGGTATTGATAAAAATAAACGGCTTAATATTTGGTGGTAACTTAGATCAAAACATTTGATTATATTATATAAAAATAATTTAATTGTTATAATGCATCACTTCTAAACAGAAAAGTTTTTATTGATATGGTGCTTCTGTATTCCTTTTTGAAAACTCAAAATATCAAAGTCAAAAAAAATTTATTTAGAATGTAAAGTCTCAAACTTAAGCGATTATCCGTGAAAAAATCAGAGATATCTTGAATATTGCAAAAAATGGGGATAAACAAATTTCGAATTGGACTCCATAAGATGTTAGACATTTGTTTCCCATGAAATAATCCGAAATATTACGGTGTAAAGATTTACATTTAGTCGGCTAGCATAAACCGACCAGAGACATCACACATATATATTCCGAAAATTTGTTTAAAAAGTGCCCCGATCATTATTAGCAAATATTTCTTCTCGGAGTTTTTTTCACAGCTCAAATTGGACTATAAACTGATCAGATTGCCAAAAACAGTTTTATTTCATTTTGTAGCCCATTTAAATCTGTATTAAATCATATATTCAACATTGTCTCGAGTTGTTCGTAAGTCGAGACAGTCAGAGTAAGAAAAATGGTTTTCGTCTTGATCTGTTCGTTTTCTAATAACGTCTTAGCCATCGCCCAATTCGATCATGTTTGATTGAAATATTCTGTTTTTATTTTCTAGATAAAATATTCATAGGATCATGTCTTCCGATGACAGCATCTGATTGTTGATACATAAAATTTCAAAGCACTGGTGTTTACAGTAGAGCAACACAGTATCTAGCAGCTGATGTTTATAGCATTAGAAGCACAATTCATCATGATACTTCATAAGAGTGATTTCCTATTTTGATTTTTATCATAAACTTCTAATGACTATGGATCAATTTTTCGAAATCTTGTGATTGTACCTGAAGGAAGGTGCAAAGTTGAGAAAAATTCGGAAGTAGGTCCTAAATATGCTTTTGTTGTTCGGTTAAGCAAGATGTTATACATTTGAGTTATTATGATTATTTGATCAACTAATGTTTATCGTCATTTCTCTTTTCAAAATAATGATTTAGGTTAATTGTAATGTCAAAACGAATTTTGATCCAAATAAATTCAAACAAAGGTAATTGAACGAGAGCATTGACAGAATTAGAGTGCAGCACACCATGTGATCCATGGTAGAACGAACGAAAAAATGCTTAAACATTGATTGATAATGAAAGTAAGAATTTGCAAAAAAAGAACAAACCAAACTATGATGCATAAATTCAAACAAACTATATATTACTGCAATAAAATGAGTAAAAGGACTATATCAGTCTTTGACAATTTTTCATCCGAACAGTGATCGTATATGATTTAATCAATGATTATAGCATTTGACAACATTCTAGTATTCGATCTATCATTCAACAATAAATTTAGCATGTTTCCTATAAGAAAACGTCGAAAAACTATCCTTTGACAACAATAGTAAACTTTTGTACTCGATGATTTCATTGATCAGCGATATGAGGATTGTTGTCTCAATGGAATGGTAAACTAATGAAAACGAAAATTGATTCGATTGTTCTTCTAGATCATTTCAACCAACGATGACGCTTCTTAGACATGTAGACACTCTCGCCGCTATCTCACTCATTACTTGTTCCAGAAACCGTGCCCAACAGATTTGTCATGGTCTGTGGCAGTGTGAGTGACCTTCAGTTTTCTAGTCTTTAGTTGCTCCCATGAGCGGTAAGAGACGAATCAAAGTTTCTTGACTGCGATTAAAGCAATTTTCTCGCGTTCAAAATTTTAATCCAGCACGCCTTACTTTTTAATCTATTTATTTGGATTTGCGAAACTCTCAACAAAAGTCCAAAAAGAGTTCAAAACGCAAAGACCTTCGTCACTTGGTATTAAATAAGTGAATGCATTTCATTCCGATGTTTCTTAATTAGTGTTTGTGGCACGTACAAGCAACTTCGAACGGAATTCCGATCGGAACTATTCGAAACTGAGAGAAGCTCGTGTGGCAGAAATTGTGTCGTCATTTGGTTGCAGAAAACTCAACGAAGTACAATATGGTCGACTGGAGCTTAACAAAAGTTGCTTAAATTATTACTGCTAAGTAAATCGAACTACCAATTCCAACAGCCGGAGCACTAAATTTTTTTGTAGCAGTTTTCTCACATTTTAATTGTTTCTCGCGATTACTAGTCAAAATAAACAAAGATTTGCAAGCATTAGTCAGACAATACTCATAAAAAGAGCGTTAAAATTGCGTTAAAATGGCATTCTAACAAATTTTTTTTGTAACATGATTAACTACGTTTTGAGACATCCGAATGCTTTTCAAAACATTCAGTAATAACTCATTGTTTTCCGTTTTTTAGAAAGAAATTAAACAAGTTTACACAGGTTTGTCTCTTGAGATTAGTTAAAACTCCTTATCTTTACTCTGATAACTTATGCTTATATGAACAAACCGGATATGAGTACTCATATTTCCAGACCACTATGACTTTTATTGAAATGACAAATTACTTTTTAAACCATCATAAAAACCTAGAATGTTTTCAAAGAAGTTTGACAACTTTCTCCCTCTATATCTGAAAGATTATACCAATTCCTATAATCTATCTGTTTAGCTCGTTCATTTATTATTTTCCTCAAGGATTAAATTTGATTCCATTCCACTTCCAATAGAACAAAGTCCTCATATTTTTTGCTTTTGTGTTTCTAGTACTTGTGTGCAGACAGAAATTTTCAAGAATTTTGTTTCTTTTGTTGACGAGTAGAGACCTGCAAAATGGTCACGGTCACGGTCACGCGTGACCGTGACCGTGACCAGTTTGGGAAAATCTTCGTGACCGTGACCGTGACCAGAGAGCTCGTGACCGTGACGTGACCGTGACCGAGTAACTTTGGTCGTGGTCACGCAGATTTCTAAAACTTATTCCGTTTACAATTGAATTGTGAAATTAAAAGAAATATCTGTGTGTTGATTATGTTTATATTTAATATTAAATCTGGATTAAAGTCAACAACATAAACAATTCGAGAAAAACAATAAGAATAATTAATAGAAATTACGGCACTACTTCTGAATTTTTTTCCGCTTTCATCATTATCACTTAAGGCCTCTTTCCT